CTTCTATCTGTTTGGTGTCTTTGACTCTTTGTTTATGGGATAATGATCAGAAATTTTATTGTTGGAAATTGAAATAAGTTCTTTTAATTAACTGGAAGGTTCCATTTAAAATTTTCCATGGATTGAGTTTAAGTCTTCTACTGTTATGTTTATTGAACTAATGGTAACAGATATTGCATTGACAGCATGTCTTGAAACATGCACTGTGGATCAGGGCCTATGCCTTCCACTGTACCAAAAAACGAGGCCCTCTGGAGATGTCTTCTCGAATCTGATATTACACGCTTTTACCTGTTACAGGGTCTGATTCAATCTGTCTTTGAACTTCGTGATGGATCTGGGGTAGTTGTCACTGTAGGAAAGTATGTGACACCACATCACTTGGACATAAATGGCAATGGAATCGATCCTGATTATAGAAACTTCCCAGGTAAGTACTTCTTTACTGTTTGAGTGGGGGGGAATTCTACAATTTAGAGAGTTCCGTCATGAAAGGATTTAAAAGATCTGTGTTTCTTTTATCCATTTAGTTGTAACTTTAATATGGTATCTATGCCCGAGGTTCCTGATTTGATTCCTGTATTTAATTAAAAAATTCTACCTTTAACTGCTTACACCTGTAGAATTTGTAAAAATATGGCTAATACCAACCCAAGGTCCATATTAAATTTCCTAAAACTGTGTCAATGAATTGAAGTGGACATTATTTGATCTGATTAGCCCTCCATACACAGCTTGGAACGATGTCGTACAGCATCTTTTGCAATGCAATTTGCTTCGGCAGGGTTAAAACCAGGTTTGCCCAGTCTTTCTGTTTCAGTTTCAACTTTTTTCTACTTCTATGCATTTTTTCCTGGTTCAATCTTATTAATACGTTATATATTTGGTATGAAACCTGCAGTTTATATTTTGAAACTTTTGGCAATTCAAGTGGAGGCATGATTTGATTTGCTTGCCCGAGAGTTGCATATCATGGAGCTGACACACAAAAGTTGAGTTAAGAGCATTGGCTTACACAAGCCTTGGCATATGTCCTGCATGTCAGAGTCTGGTTTAGGTTTTAGAGTTTCAGTGGATCTGATCCTACATAACATTACACCAATCAAAGAAAAACATATTGCATTGACATTGGAAAGTTCGAAATGAACCAGCTCTAAGTCCAAAGAAATCCCAACCATATGGAAGAATTTAGCACATAACAACCAGGAAGTAAAAGAAGCAATGATTTACTGTGAGAAAGTTTGCTGTAAATTTTGTTCATATATATCTCAGTTATGGATACAAGTGATATTCAAGTAAATCCGAAATTCTTTGCCAAAGAGACTCAAGCTTGTCTTATTCTTTCCTCAACTCTCTTCGTACATTCTCAATGTCTTAAATTTTTGTTGACAAGAGGGATGAGATGTAGCCATTACACTACTGCAGAGCATTATATGTAGCCAGAAACTTGATTTCTGTAGCTCACGGTTTCAGTGAGCTTCTGTTTTTGACTTCGCTAACGCCACATTTAACGAGTTGCTACTGTTCTTCCATCATTTCCCACCTCCATGAATGCAATTAACTGTTTAGAAAGTGTGGAAAGGTGCATTTGGAAAAGGGTCTTGAATTTCTCCGAAGCTGGAAGCCTGGAACACAAGAGAAAAGGAGTCTTGGCTATGGCCAAGGGACATAAAACTTTTGTATTTCAGGGTAAAAACCTTAAAACAAATTCAAACTGTTACATGGACTAAGCAAATCAGAGTGTGGTCTCATAAAGTTGTAAAAGTGTGCCCGACGTTGAAGTTAAGGCCAGGATGACTTGTAGTATTCCCTCGACATTATTCTTTTTTCACTGCTGGGTTACAGTTCGATGGAAACCTAAGCTCCTTCATCTTTCAACCAGTTTGAGTTGGGTTGCAATGTATTACAATCCGAATCAAACATAGCTCTAAATTAAAGTATACACAGCCGTAAATAATAAGCCATAAACTTTGCCAGTCCCTAGATTTTGTTCTATTCTCTTAGCACTTTTTGCAGTAAAAAATACTGCTACTGTTTCAAAAAGTTACTTAAACAATATTTGATTGTATCGATCCATCAAGAGATCGGTATACGCGGTAGTATCTCGTGCAATTAATAATTATTTTAATAATATAATTTTACAAAATTTGTTTTTATAAAATAATTTATTATTCAATTGAAATCATATTATTCAATGACAATTTTTATACGTAGGTATAAATTTTCAAGTTTGTCTGAATGATTTGATTTTTAAGTTTCTTTTATTTACTTATATTGATATTTTGATTTGTACAGTGAACAACAAAGACACAATCTGAATGAGTTAAAGCCTTAAGCCAAAAAGGAGCTAAACCTGCTTAAGGAGGTAGTTCTTCCCTTGGGTTACAGGCAAACTGTAATTAAGCTGAAGTTAGATCTCTGTCCCTGTGGATTCTATGATAGTAATTAAGTCAGCAAAATCACAGACATTATTCCTAAACAAGGAATCATTAGTGTTTGTTTGTTCTTTAGACAAATTGAATCAATACCCTTCAATAGAGTACTGCAACCCCAAGCAGAGATAGCATTTCTCTATTATATTTTATCTCTTTGCTGCATCAAATCATAAAAATCTTCCTCTACAAACCTTTAACTTTTTGATTCAGTCCCATAAACAGTAGAAAGGGATAACATAAAAAAAAAGAAAGAAAAATGCCACCACAACAGTGTCATTATGAATTAACATAAAAGAATATATACATATGTATCATTTTAGAACACCAGATTTAAATTCCCAACAGATTACCCCTCTGCCTTCCCCACACCCCCCCTCTTCACACTTTTGTTCTCTTTTTGCACCTTCCCTTGCTTGCTTATTCCAACAACCTAATGCCTCCTTTCTCAAGTTTCCTTATATTCTCCTTTCTCTGTTTCCATCTCTCTTCAATCCAAGAAAGCTTTGATTCTTCAAGTTTTATTTATATAACAAATGTGAGGATGATAAATGGACTCTTCTTTGCAATAACTCCATTGGTCCTTCTCTTTGTTTTATACATACATATCAGCTTCTATATTAGTGTTCTTATTGAAGAAGATTGTCAAGACCTACATTATACAAGCAGATTGAAGACATGGATTATAGTCTTCTTCAGTTCCTCGCAATCTTTCTCTTGCATATTTTCCTATGTTCAGGTGATTGATTTGCCTCAAAAGGTTTTTCTTTTCTGCCTGCATATATTTAGTTTGTCATTTTTATACATTTGCCAGAGATACTAGATTTTGTTAAGCCAAATCTTGTTAGGACTTTCTTCTTGGCTGATAAGAAGCTTTTTAATGAGTCAAAAACTTCATGTCAATGGTGGGTGATGGAATGGTAGTACAGAAAACCCTTTTTTGAGTTAGTATTTCTGTGCCTACCATAAGAGAAGAGGAGCTTTTTGTAATTAGTTAAAGAATTTATCTAATTCAAGTCATTCTTCATACCAAGAGGAATGCTGCAAACATCTGTCGCCTGAATAAGTGAATGTTTAAAATGAACAAAATTAGAAATATACAAAGAAACTTATGCAGCATTGGATTAATTATATTGCAGACCAAAACCCAGGTGCAATTTTCTTCTTCTTCTTTTTCTTTTAAAAAGTCATGGAAAGAATTCCTTGTAATGCTGACTTCAATTCTGACTGATCAGTTCTCAGCTTGCTGTTCATGCAATTCACTTTCACTTAGATAATTGAAAACTGAGTTTTCTTCTTCCTTTTTATTTTTTGTTTTCACTTTTAACCTTTGTGACTCTAAAGTTGTTGGTTTCAAACTTTATCTCCATTGCACATCAAAATACTTGAAGCTTTTTCCAACTAGTATTCTTCTCTGTAGATACCACTGCCTAGAAAGGGCTCTTGCATTCTTTTCTTAGTTTTTCCTCCACAAGATTCGCCTTTGGAGTCTCGGGGGTATTAGCTCTTCTTTTTTATCTTTCAACGGCTGCTCTTCTTGTCTCCCAAGCTTGTTCTTACTTTTAGCATGAGTTCTAAGTTCTAACATCGGACAGGTGTTTCTACTCTGTCTGTCTGTTTAAATAAAGCAATGTCTTCCTATTTCTTCATGGAAAAGAAAAGAAAAAGAACTTAACTTGCTTTTAATCTCTTCAGGTTCAAGTGTTTCAGAGAAACCTCCTCTGGAAGAAATTAATCAAAAGAGTAAACAAAACAATCAAGAATTCCGGGTACTCTTCGCACCTTCGATATCCACCACAGTACTAGCAGATGATATTCCCATTGTCAACCCTACGACCCCAGGCACAACAACTCCAAACCCAACATCCCCATCAACAGAGCCGACCACCAACCCTACTACCCCGACCACCACTCCGGCAGCACCGATCACAACTCCAACGACCCCGACCACGACTCCAACAACCCCAACCACAACTCCTGCAACATCAGGAGGAAGCTGGTGTATTGCAAATCAAGGTGCTTCACCAACTGCTCTACAAGTAGCTCTAGACTATGCTTGTGGATATGGAGGTGCAGAGTGCTCAGCAATTCAACCTGGTGGAAGTTGTTATGACCCCAACACTGTTCTTGACCATGCTTCTTATGCTTTCAATGATTACTACCAGAAGCACCCAGCTCCAACGAGCTGTGTTTTCGGAGGAACAGCTCAGCTTACCAATACCGACCCAAGTAAGATATGGACCATATGGTCATAGAAAAAGCAGAACTGTGTTATTTTAAAACTATAGTAAAACTCTTACCTTTCAAACAAAATTCATCTCTCTATATATTTGTCCAGGTAGTGGAAACTGTCACTACGCAGCATCCTCTCCGACAAGGTAATGATGTCACAACCACCTTCGATGTCGTTTTTTATTTCAAGACAGAGAGAGATGAGCTTATTTTTCCTTTAACATGTAAATTGCAGTGTGACTCCGCCGGCCAGCATAACACCACCAGCCACCCTAACCCCGCCCACTACCACGACCATGAGCCCGCCCCTTTTCATGACTCCACCAACTTTTACAGGACCAGGTGGGGACGGTACGGTTTATGGTTCAGCAGAACCAACAGGACTCCCCAGCTCAGCCACCTCTGTGTCATTCAATTTGTGGCTGATCTTTGCCACAATAGGACTTGCGTGGTCACTTGTCACAGCAAACAAGCTCTAGGCAGGACTCCACTTTGAGTTACTTTTCCATGACGAGATTGCAATTCCTTTGCTTGCCAGCAAGCTTGAGAATCAACAATGAGATATTTATCTCAAAAGGACTAGACTTCTTGATCTATGCATACATAAAAGCTGAGTAAGAAGCCCCGGGAAAAAATGAAGAAGAGCATAGAATCTGTTAGGTTCTTGTACTGGTAGATAAGTTATGATAGCTGCTTTCTCAGAATCAATGTTAGCGCAATAAATTATTATAGAAGCCCTCTGGCTCTAGGAAGGCTTTTCCGGTATTGGAAACCATCTCAGACTTAGCTAGTGCATTAATAGATTTATTTCCCTTCTAATGTAATCTTAATTTATACTTATTCATCAGCCAGCAAATAAATCCATACCAAACTTTTTCATTTCATTGCCGATATGCATAACAAAACAGCAGTGCTATTGCCAACTTTGGGTCGGAGATTGCCAACTGACCTAGTTGCCGTCCTGGTTCTTATGATTATACATTGCTGTTTATTTTACTTATAATGGAATTGGTTAAGATGTTTATTAGTTACATCAGTCAAAAGAGAGAAGTATACCCAAAGACAGGAATCAGCTTTGGCAATGTCAATGGCAAACATGATCAAGAAGAGTGAAACCATAAGTGCGAATAAAGTGGTGGATCAAGGACCATGTTCATAATTCTTCCCCTGAAAACGAAACTTGTATTATTTCAAGAGGGCTTCCTAGTTTCCACCGACTACGACACAGAGAAAGCAGAGCCAAGTAATTATCACCATATTAACACAAGAACAAAGGTCTGCAAATTAAGGATTATTCTTACACCGTCTCCCTCTACACTTGTTCAATAACTTGACAGAATTCTTGATTTTAAATTACAATGCGATCAGAAACAAGAAGGAGACAGCAGTGATGCAAACGATGGCTATGGTGGCAATAACTGAACCTTGGTCGAATGCCTTCTGCAAGCTGCCTGCTCGTGAGAAATGCGGACCAAATAAGCTGCGATCACCAGGAAACGATAGCACCTAGTTGTGTTCCCCTGCCAAAAGTAAAAAAAACATACTAAAACCCAATCAACATGAGTACTACAAAGAAGAAAATATATTCACTAACTTAGTTGATTGCTTGGTAAGGGCAACAATCACCAAGATTAGTGCTATAAATGGCAACTCAAGTTCACCAACAGAACAATTATTTTTTCTTCCAATTAATCAGAAAACAACATAAACTGTCATTGAGTCATGATTAAAAGGAATACATGGTTCCTACTTCCTGGCTGATTTATTATGCAAAATATACCAAATTCATTGCAAAAACTAATCCAGTCTATGCATTTAGTGATAGAAAACAGAAAAAATACCGGGAATGTAGAAGAAGAGACGGACGAGAAGTGCCAAGAATGCTGCCCAAAGACCATATTCACCCCTTCAAATTTCAACTCCATCGATTCCAAGGAGTAAAACAAATTGTAAATTACAGGAAATTATCAGAAGAGTGAAAAAAAAAAGGAAAAGAACAATCTTGCTCACTTCATCCATGAAATGATGCTCGCCGGAGCTTGAATTGCGAACAACGGAACAAGAAATTGTTTTTGAATCGCAGTTCCTTTTGCAAGCAATAGAACCCTGTTCCGAGATCAATTCACGAAATTATTTTTCAAAATTAAAACAAAAAGCAATGAGAAATGAAAGAGAGAGAGAGAGAGAAAGAGAATTACGTAGAAGAGATGGTGGAGATCCACTGGAGATTCCGAGGAGAGAGAGGTGCAACATAGCAAACCGCACGTGATCCTCTACTCTTCTTCTTCATTTCCTTGTATATTATCGAAAACCTACAATTACAAAACCAAAATTCAGAAAAAAAAAAGAATCAAATTTTGTCTTTATTTTCAGAATTTGATTGAATCGTATTACAGTTACCTGAGAGGATTGAAACTGATCGAGCTAGAGGAGGAGTGACCCAGAGTGGAGAGCTTCTTTGTAGCTTGAAACGGCCCGCTTAGAAGAGAAAAAAACGGTGCGTTTCGCGGGTTGCAAGAGTAAAGAGATTGTGCTACTGGTGCTGGAGAGATCGAAACTGTCACCATCTTTACTCTCAGTAAGAAAGCTGAGAGCGTAGCAACGGCGAAGAAATACCTTGAAAAATGACCGGCGGAAACTGATACCTGTCAAGTATTTAAATTATGTCAACGATTGTTTTGTCCACGTGGAGTGGTACTTGTCGTTGAATCTCAACCGTGGCTGAATAATCCATGTGGACTTGCTTTAAGCAAATAACGTGCCGCCACGTGAACGGTTCACGGTTCTATGTTGGATCCGCATGGGACGTTCCTTATCCGCAACTCTTTGGAGATTGTCTGCCCTTGGATCTTTGACCCGATCCAACATTAAATTCCTCAAATCTTTTTTTTAAAATACTCTCACCCTTAACATTTTACACAAATTCATTCATTTTCAAAATATACAATCTACCTTAAAAGTATAAACACTATTAATAAAAAATATAAAATATTAAAATATTTATTTTTTCTTGTACCAACTGGTGCTCTCTTGGATTTTTTAAAATTAATAAAAATTACATGATAGTAATTTTTAAAATTAATAAAAAATAAAATTATTTTTTTAATATTGTCATGTTATCAAATTAATGAAAACACTAATGATTAGACATATATACCAAAAGAAATATATATTTTTTAAACAAAGAGTTTATTTTTAAAATTAATAAACCTACTTAAAATTTTGATTAAAATTTAAAAAAATTAATTATTTTACATTTTTGTTCCTTTGGATCTTTTACCCAATCCAACATTAACTTCACATTAGTGTAACCAATTTTACATTTATAATAGTTGTGATAGATTTTGAACTTTTAATAAAAATAATTTATAAATTGAAAGTGTGAATTTGTAACAAGTTATACAATAATTTATTAAACTTTTCATTAATGTGAAATCATTATAAGAGATGCGAAGATCAAAATAGATTGAGAACAAACTAAATCCTTCTCTTTTATACATGAAAGAATAAGAGTAAAGAGGACGTTGCATAATTTAATAGAATATATAATATATCTTGAATTTATAAGTAAAAGTTATATGCCAATTAATAAGGCATGTTTTTCTCTACTTAAATATATGGGTTCGTGATGACAACAACATTTCAATAGAGGAAAATTTATTATATATTAATCTTCCAAAAATTTTTTACATTAGCATAGTATTGAACAGCTCAATTTCAATTTGAATTTTTTTATTCAAATGTCATTTTTTTCAACACATTAATTTTACTAAAAATGTAGTGTTATATATATTAAAATAAAAACTATCATTAGGTAATAAACTTATGATACTAGTTTTCTTCACTCTTTGAATTGAAATTTAATTAAAAAAAAATCAGTGGTTAGATTGCACAATAAAATTCTGATATTGGGCCTATATTAAACTTCTTTACCTCGTCATCGAACTTAGGCCCTATTTGGACAAGGCCTATATTTATGTTGGGCATACGTTTCCTTCTAAGTACTCAATAAAAAGGTGAGAATCTGGTCCGTTGCTTCTTGCTCCTTAAAGCTGAAGCCCGTCTCTTTGTTCTGCGAATGTTGGGAAAAGAAGAAAGACGTAGCAAGAAGAGAACAGTGTCTGTTTTCTTGTAGCTCTTCTTTTTCTTTGAACAAATCCATGGTCAATTTGATGTGGAAGGCGGCAGAATTAGTTTTTTCTTGGTAACAAAAATGGAGGTGCAAATTTCGACAACTGAAACAGAGTCGCATCCTGAGACGGGAGATTCTTTAGGTAAACATTTGATTAAACAGCTATTGCTGGTGAACTTACTGTTTCTTTTCTTTATATATCTTGTTTAGCTTTGAAACTGTATGAACAAAAAAGGAAGTACAAATTTCAACAACTGAAACAGAGTCGCATCCTAAAATGGGGGATTCTTTGATTAAACAGCTATTACTAGTGAACGTATTCTTTCTTCTCTTTATATTTCTTGTTTAACTTTGAAACTGTATGTTCTCGTACTTTTTTTTTTTTGGTTTGTTAGGTTAATTAGTTTAATTTTTAACTCGTTTTTCTCTTTTGCTGCAGAAGGTTTTGATGAGGTGAAACTTAAGGAATTTATTGCTCAAGGTAAATTAGACTTTGATGGATGGACTTCGCTTATTTTAGACGTTGAGAATTCATTTCATGTAAGTTCCTTTCTTTGATCATTCTTGCTCCTTGTTTAGGTTTGTTTTGTAATTTTATGCTTGGCTCTTTTTTGTTTTAATGTTTTGTGTGTTGATCATTGCAGGATGAAATAGAGAAAATATGTTTAGTGTATGATTCCTTCTTGTTTCAGTTTCCTTTGTGCTATGGTTACTGGAGGAAGTATGCTGATCACGTGATACGCTTATGCACCATTGACAAAGCTGTTGAAGTCTTTGAACGAGCTGTGCAATCAGCAACATACTCTGTTGGTGTTTGGGTTGACTATTGTGGCTTTGCTATTTCAGTTTTTGAAGATGCCAATGACATTCGTAGGTAATCTCAATACTTGAAATTCTAGTACAAGTTAAAAAACAGAATGCCTGTAATTATGTGACCCACATTTGGTGTTCTTGGTTAGATTAATACAGCCTTTACTACCTGTTTCATAGTACGTGAGATTTAGAAAAGTTAACTGGCATTTGTGAATATAAATTGATTTATGCACAATACTGGCAGTTGATATGTGAATGTTGTTCTTGAGGCATGTGGGTAGTGTTTAAAGCTTTTCAATGACATGCAAATTTATCTTAGTGAATCACTTATATCAATGATATGTAAAAAAGATGGGAAAACGAAATATCGATTGAAATAAGTAATATATGGTATGAGAAAATTTTACTTAACTCTCTGGTGGTTCAGCTAGATAGATAGGCTCAACTTTACACTCAATCCTCTTGGGGCTGGCTTCATTAAACTGAACCCTGAGGATGTTAGCCTTGGTGACATGATCTTGATATTGGTTTGAGGATTAGGAAGAACACATTCTATTGAAGCTTAACTTCTATAAGTGTTATTCGATTTCTCATACTTTTGTTAAATGATAACAAGAATATGTAGAAAATTTCCATCAGATATGGGCTTTTGTGTATGTTTGTCTTGTCATGTATGAGATCTGAAGTATTATTTATCAAATAGTTTTCTCAAACATACAACTCTACCTAAACTGAACTCAATCAAATCTTGAAACAGACTATTGGGGTTGGCCTAACAGCACATAAGTTTGTTTTTTCTTTCACAATATGTGCATTGACCCAATATGATGCTTTTGTGATAGAACTATGCATTTATTATGCCCCTGCCTGCCGTGTTTCACAAAGTCTTGAATATTCCTGCTTTATGATACATTTAAGGTAGTTAATATTATCTTTCTGGAAATTATTGACAGACTATTTAGAAGAGCCATGTCCTTCGTTGGAAAGGATTACTTATGTCATACCTTGTGGGATAAGTATGTTGAATTTGAGTTTTCTCAGCAGCAGTGGAGCTCCTTAGCTAATGTTTACATCCGAACTCTGAGATTTCCATCCAAAAAGTTACATCGTTATTATGAGGGGTATTTTCACTTCTTTACAGAAACTTGTGCAAATTCTTTGAACTTTCTTTTGTACAAATTTGTGCACCTATATTTACGTGGTTATATCAGCATTAATGCAATATGCTATTAATTTTAAGAAATCTTATTTCATTTAGTCTCTGTTTGGTAAGGATGGAAACTCCTTTATAGAAAGTTTTTTCATTATTTTCCCTTGTTTGGTAACCTGAAAATATTTACAAGAAGTAAAATATTTTTGGGTTAACGAAAAAATGCCGTTGACTCAAGGAAAATATCTTACGCTCTTCAAAGGAGTAAGACTTTTTCCATCTACCTTCCCTTCTCTCTGGGATTGATCTCATAAACCTTGGGATCAATCCCATTTGGAAAATATTGCCCTCCCCTCCTTGTGGGATCATTCCAACAAAGCAATAAAGCGTCATTATTTTCATCTCTTTATTCATTCCCAACAAAGCATCATTGACTCTTTTTGTTCAATTATTTTGTAGGAATCATATCACAATAATTTTTTTTACCAAGATACCGCAATTTTTAATATAATATAAAATTATTAAAGTAAATTAAAGAAAAAATTATATAAAATAAGAAATAAAATTTTCATACATGAGAATCTATCCTTTCTTTTAATTTCCAATCTATGATTTATTCACTTAACAAACTAACCGGTACAATAATATGATATTTTTATATAATATTTTGAATGTTGAAAAAAATATTCTGGATGTCTTGCATAATTGATGAATGTTGATATTTTTATGTTGTCATGGTAGAAAATTATTGAAGATGGAAAATTTTTGAGGGTGTGTCATGATGGAAAATATTTTCTTTCTATAGTGTGATCTAAACAACAAAAAATATTTTAGGCAGTTTATCCAAACAACATAAAATGTTAGATTTTTTGTAAAATTTTTTACATAGAAAAGATTTTCTTCAGCAAGTTATTTTCCGGTTACCAAATGAAGCTTCACTAGAAAAAGAACACTACAGAAAAAACGAATGAACTTGCCAAAGTCCAACTACTATTATTGCTATTGTTCTTGAATATTGAGTCATAGTAGGAAATCCATCTCGTTTACTGAGAACAAGTATTGCAGACCATAAAAGAGTGTATTTCTTTGTCACTTTCTGCGGATCTTATGTCAGTCTTTCTTTCTACAAATCCAACAATATGATGTATCTATGCCATTGCATGCTTTACTTGTTTAATGACCATGGGTACTGATAATTTCATGGTACTCTACATATGTTTATGAGGATTTCATATGATTGGTTATTATGTAGGTGTTGATGAATTAGCTTAGTTTGATAAAATAGCTTATCTTTGATCTTTATTGTTTTTATTGTGCCGTTGCATGATATTTTACCGTTCTTTCTCTGTTTGTTTGCCAATTATTGTCCGATACTATAGGCCACTTTGAGTATACAGTTGTCGTACAACAGTTTGTGTTTTCTTCAGTTTCCAGAAGCTGGCTGCCACTTGGAAAGAAGAGATGCAATGTCTGAATGATTTGGATTTAGAATCAGATCCCAAAGTAGAAAATGAAGTCTCTACATGTTATACTGATGAGGAAATTTCTTGTGTCATCAAAGACTTGCTGGATCCTTCCACTGGTGTGGATGGTACTAAAGCACTGGAAAAATACTTGTCAATTGGGAAGCAATTCTACCAGGAAGCGTCTCAGTTGGGTGAAAAAATACATCGCTTTGAGACTAGCATTCGAAGGCCCTATTTTCATGTGAATCCACTTGACATCAGTCAATTGGAGAACTGGCACGAGTATTTAAACTTTGTAGAGATGCATGGCGACTTTGATTGGGTATGGTATTATTAATCTGGACTTATCTGGTCTTGCCTTTATTAGGTATCTGAGTTTCCTTTTGCATTTATAGGCTGTTAAACTTTATGAGAGATGCCTAATTCCATGTGCTAATTATCCTGAGTTCTGGATGCGTTATGTGGATTATGTGGAAAGTAAGGGTGGAAGAGAGATAGCAAACTTTGCATTGGCCAGAGCAACACAAATTTTTCTGAAGGTACTCATCTTTGTAACTGTGCTTGTACTCTTTCAGAAAGAGGGAAAAAGAAAATTAATACAAAGATTCTAACCTGGACACTATCTCAAGCAGTAGAAGGATTCTACCAATTTTAGAAAAGAGATAAATGATCTTTCATCTGTTGGATGGTGCTAATCCTTTTCAATGAATTTTTTGGAGGATTGATCTTGTAAAATAAGCAGCTTCTGCACCAACTTTTATTAATTTTTACTGCTATCTAATGGCAACTAGAACCTGATTTATAATTTCATTCTTTAGTTTTTATAATCTCTAAGTAGAATTTCAAAGTTTCAAGTAAGTTGATGCCAATAAGCTTGTTTAGAATGGGTTAAATCTTGAACTTCTTGTCTACATCTAGTAAGTGCACGCATTGATACAAAATACAAGAAGAAAAATTCATCTATGGTTGTTCTATCTGTATCCCTTTTTTGAGATAAAAAAGTTAGGGGAGGGGGCTTTGAACTCAGTAATATTAACAGTAAACCTGATAACAACAAGGTTACAAACCTCTTCTTTTGGAGCTGTAACAATATGTTTGATGACACTGTCTTAACTGCAAAGATTATTGAGACCATAAAGGTGGCTTAGCTGAAGTTCAGGTTGCAGGAAACATCTATCAAAGTATTTTCTTCATAGAGATTGTTTTATCGCTTACAGCATATTAAAATTAGAGTGGTAAAATTGCAATGATAATTTAGGTAACAAAATAATATATTAATAGAGAGGCATCAAACTTTTGACATTATTACACTAAGTGAGATATAATCAGAATACTATATCTTCTGAAATCGCAAGTGGTATCATGTAATTTTATCAAAAATGAATGTAGGTGTACGGTAGTTTCAAAATACTTCATTGTTGTACTGGAAGTGAATATTGAAGAATACTAATTTTGTTTCTCAGAGATAATAAATTGTAATCTCAATATCCCTGCATTATCCTTTATGCAACTCGAGTGAAATAGCCTGTGGTTAGCTTATTTACATTTCTTTCTACACTTCCACGGTACTGTTAGTGATTCCAAATCAGTTTGTGCCATTCTGAAACTTCAGTTGATTCCTTTCATTTATAGGATGCTTTCTCCATTGCTTTATACATGACTGGAGATGTTTATGGCCCTCTCCCTATGTTAATTGCAGAGAATGCCGGTGATCCACCTTTTCAGTGCTAGGTTTAAGGAGAAAATAAGGGATGTTTCAGGTGCACATGTAGCACTTGCTGAATATGAGACAGAATCAGATCTCAGCTTTGTTGAAACTGTATCAATAAAGGCCAACATGGAAAAACGTTTGGTAAGTACCTCTCATTCTCTCTCTCTCTCTCTCTTTCTCTCTCTCTCTTCATTTAGACTATATGCATGGGCTTGATTGTGAGTAATTACTTATATATGTCATTGCTTTCCCAAATTTGTTAGGGCAATTTTGTAGCAGCTTCTAATACATACAAAGAGGCAGTGGAAATTGCTGCTGCAAAGGAAAAGTTTGACATTCTTCCCATATTGTATATTCATTTTTCTCGACTACAATACATGGTGGGTAAAGGATTTCCACTGGTAGATTTTGTCAACCTAAACTGTCTATCTGCTGGGCTGCTGTTCATGATTTGCAGCTAGACATGTTTCACTTTGCATTTATCTCACCTTTGATGAAGAAAGGCCACACTAGATTTATAATAAGATATATCTGTAAATGCTCCTATTGATTGAGTGAAACATATATGATTTCACATATGACAGCAGTGCAGAAATGCAATTTCAATTTTGTGCTTCCTAGATTTATTTTCTTTCCTCTGCTACATCAGTTTTCCCATTGTGAAATTGCTTATATGCATTGTGGTCCTTTCTGAAGAAAAACCTTGTCCTGCTAATTCTACATTTTCTTGGTAGTCTTAGATACATGCATATGATTTTTCTTACAGCATTTTCTTTTCAGATCACCAGTAACAGTGATGCTGCCAGAGACATCTTAATAGATGGTATCAAACATGTGCCTCATTCCAAATTGCTTTTAGAGGTAGTTATGTCATCTTCAACTGATGATTTGTCTGTTGTGGAATCATGAATAGAATATTGGTGGTCTTCAGGCCAGTTAACACTTTTGGTGATTATGTAGGCACATCACCAAATTTAGAAGTCAAGTTTTTTCCCCCTTTCCCCAATATCTCTTGTAAATGATTGTTAAACTTTTCCTGTTTACCAGGATTTGGCTTCTGTTAGATGATAAAAGTTTCTATTGGTTCTGATATTCACTTCTGTAGGAATTGATAAAATTTGGAATGATGCACGGAGGGCATAGGGACATACATGTGTTAGATGCTATAATAGATAATGCAATATCTCCAGGGCTCTCTCAAGGTATGAATGCAGAAGAGGCAGAGGATGTATCAAGCTTATATTTGCAGGTAACCTTTTCTCTTTAAACATTTCAACTGCAGTGTCCTTTTAGGAGAAGCGGTGCAAGAGGATGCTATTTCCCATGTTTCTGTGTTTTTTGCCCCTTATTGGTTGTTGACCTCATATCATCTGTCTTGATTGATTGTTCTTATTTGATACCCTTTCACTATGGCAAAAGAGGGCAAAAAACCTCTTTTTATCATTCATTTTGCTCTCTCTGTCTCTCTTTGCCTCACACACACATGCGCATGCACATATGCACACCACACAGGAATTTTCTTCCTGAAAAAGCAACTGGTTGGACTTTGGAATTTTTAGTTCAGTAGCATCAAACATCTGAACATATTTACATTTTCAATGTCATGCTATGCAAATAGATCTACTTACCAGCTCTCCAAGATCCCATTTTAGTATATGCCAGTTGCTGTAACATGGCCACAGTTTTTCTGTCTTGCCTAGCATTAGTTTGTTTTTCATCTAAATTTATCTGCCAGTGGAAAATATGACCCATGAAGCCAACTTTACTTAAGATAGTGGGTAAATGGGAAAGGCTCTGTTGTTGCTGTTATTATTGTTTCTAAATTCATCTGGAACTGATTGACTGTAACTTTTATGCTGGCCAGTTTGTTGATCTTTGTGGGACCATAGATGATATAAGAAGAGCATTAAATCGGCACATAAAATGTTTTCCTGGCTCCACAAGGATGAGCACGTATATGTTCTCAGTTAATGGTATAAAACCTATACCTTTGAAGATGACATCTGGTGGAAGACAAGAAAGCCTTGGTGCTTTGCCTTCCCATCCATCTGGAGGTGGAAGTTTTGACATCCCAACTCAGTCACCATCTCTAGACAAGATAATGAAGTCTCCAGAAAATGATGATACCCAGCTTACTCATGCTGTGGACTGGGTTTTGGACAAGAAATCACCAAGGCAGGAAAATCATGAAATTCCTTCTGACAAGGCTACAGTCAACAGGCTTCGATCAGAGGTTGATGAAAGTTTGCAGGAGGGAACGCAGCAAGGTTCTCAAGATGTTTCAAAGCAGCTCAGAGAAGATATAAAAGCTAATACTAATTTGTCATCTCCTGATTTAATACATGAAGTGACAAATGAAGTTGAAGCACTACAAACTTCAGAAGAAAATTCTAAAGAAAATGATATCAAGCAAGAGCATGATCATAAGTCGGAACAAGATGTAAACCAACTCTCACTGGAGAGACTTTCGTTAGATCATCTAGATCATAAGTGTTCAGATTCAATCAGAGTCGCAAATCAGGGGGGTGAAACTTTTGTAGAAACCAGGTTATCAAATGGAAACATGGTGAAAAAAGAACCTCCTCAAGAAACCAGCATGTGCTATGGAAGTGTGCCAGAGGATGGTCAAAGTAATGATGGACATCACCTGGTATCCAGCCCAAGGAGTGCTCAACCATCTGATTCTACTGGAATTCAAACTGAAATGGCCAGTCCTTCATCTTTGGCAAGTCAGCAGAACATCAAGAAAACAGAGCCACCTTTACGGAGGACACCTCCTTATGGTGGTGGAAGTTGGCATCAAAGGAGTAAGGTTGACAGAGTTCATAGAGAAAACAAACTTGGATTCCGAAGGCATTCTCATAAAAGGCTGCAACAAAGGCAGCAGATGTCCCCACAAAGGCAGTGTCCACGAAGTGACACTGGCACACAAGTGCCTATGAGTCAAGGTTACCCCAGTCAACCAATGTCTTCGCTGAGCCCACAAGTTCAACAGGGTGGCCAAACACAGAGTCAGTACTCCACATCTGCTGCTCATCCTAATTTAATAACAGCCCATGGCTGGTCTATGCATAACATGCAACAACAGAATTTTGTCCCTAGTCAGTCTCAACTACTTCCTCAACCTGCTTATCCTCCACCACAGATCTCTCAACATCCCATGCAAAGTAATGAGCAGCTTGGGCAAATGCAGAATAATCAAGCATATAATCAAATGTGGCAATATTATTTCTACCAACAGCAACAGCAGCAGCCATTTCTTTTGCAGCAACCCCATAATCAACAGCCTCAGCCCCAGCAGCAGCTTTTACAGCAACAGTATCAGCAACATCAGCAGATGCTACAAGTGCAACAGCAATATCTTCAACAGCAACAATTACCCTATCAGCACCCACAGCTGCTGCAGCTTGAGCAGCAACACCAATTTGTTCAACATCAGCAGCAACATCTGCAACAGCAGCAGCAGCTGATACAGCAGCAGCAACTACAACAGCAAGGCTCTTATGCGCAACAACTTCCACCACAAAATCATCATCTTTTCTTGCAGCAGCAGCAGCAAGAAAAAGAACAAAGACAACAAGAAGAGCAGATTGCAACATCACAGGTTCAGACATTGAATGACTCAAGCAAAGAGGTGTGCTTAATACTGAATTATGTGGTTTTACTATATTAGATGTGTAGCAAAAAATTTTCTGCAAGGAAAAAGGGGAATTTTTTCAAAATCATGGTTTGTCCAATCTTTAAGGTTCCATTGAACCTGTCATTTACATTTTCTGCACAGTTGGGATTTCGGCAGAAACAAGTCTTCTGATTAAGCAAGCCTGATATTCCTTCCTTTAATCTGAAACTGGTCACGAGATTTGTATCTGTTGCAGTTTACTCTTAAATGAAAAAGTTGATCTTCCAGAAATGAGGCTCAAATAGGTTAGAACTTTTGCACTTATATATAAGTTGTCATCCTAACAGTAATTGAACACTTCTGACTGCAGGAATCCATGATGGAACCAAGGGTACAGACAAGATTGCAGGTAAGTAAAACAAAGTTTTTATCGTCTTACAAAGATTGGTTGTATAGTGAATAAGTTTAGAGTTTTAGCTGGGATTGGAAACATCACAAAGCATGTTGGTGCCAAAACCCTTGAATGATCAGAGGATTCCTCCTCGGGATCTGATTGAGTCACTTGCCTAGAATTTGTACTATTTTTTGGATGCGGTTTCCTCACCTTCTCTTGTCAATTGTCATTCCTACTTCCGTGGTGGTCTAGAACGAATTGTCGTGCAAATATATGCATGTCCATCTGTTTTGTGAATTTTAGTTTTGGACATTGATCTCTTCCTTATAATGCAGGGCCAAGGTACCTTGTCTCATGGAACTGATGCGTCTAAAACTGTATCATCTGCAGCATCCCCAAATTCCAAGCAAAGATCTTATACAAGCTAACTGCTGATGCCATCTCATATGGTAGGGCAACACGTCTAGGCGTCAGTCCATCTTCAATGGTTATAGAACTTGAAATTGATTTACGTGATCTGTAACTTTAGTTTTGCTTAACATGAAAGGTTCCCGTTATATACTTTTGTGTTCTGTTGTAAATATCACAACCTGTATATCGCATTTTTTTAAACTTCTTAAAAATCCATAGAGCTTGGTACTCAAAGTTGAAGGAATTACGTGAAAAATAGAAAATGAAATAGCTTCCCTTAAATCTTGACAAAATTGAAAGAAAATTAGTTTTTGATCTTTTTACAGGTTCTAAGTTTTAACAAAGAGAGCTCATATTCAGCTGTCTGGATATAAGATGATTACTTGATTCAATTCATTATTCTAGCGTTCATTAAGCTGATGCCGCTGCCGCAGCCTGATAAGCTTGTTTGATAATAAGAAAAAATGTCAATGAAATAATTCCTGCACCACACTCCATAGCTATTTTAGACTCAGGAATGCAACTAAAATTAAAAAAATGAAGACAACCTCAATTAATGCAATGATAAATAAGAAGTGGTACTGAAGAAATTACAACTATTACAATACCATATGGAATTTGGTCCCAAAAATAAAATGCACAATTTTAAATTAAAATAGCAGTTGTGTAAAACATTACACGGTTCAAAGTGTACCAAAAAAGTATATAGCTAAACCACCTGCTACCATACACAGAGCAGGAAGTACGGGAGAAAATAAAATGAAGGTATAAAATGATAGTTATCTTTATCATCTCAAAATTACATTGATCAATCAATTTGTTCTTATAGTCACTTCAGAAATTCAAAGGGGAGAAAAACACAAATGTCAGGATGCATACATGGTCAGTAGCTATACTAAGAAAATTCAGATGAAAAGTTAAGTAGCAACGGAATTCCGCGTACCTATTATTTTGCCATTAGCAGATAATCTAGTAATGTTCATCATAAGACCTGCAGGTAAGCCATGCAAAATTATAAAACTGTGAAGAAGATCAAAGGATTCAACAGATGTTATGACAAGCAGTGATAGCTAACGTGAATAAGTTCACACCCATCAACTTTTTCTCCTCAATTCTCCAATTTTTTGTAAGGCGATATGATCTTCGTTCCGTAATCTTCTTATATCCTCTTAAGCATAGCTGAACGAGCCACCTGACCAGGAGGTAGCTCCCATCAGAAATATCTTGCACTGTCAAACCGCAGATTCTCATTGTTTCCACCTTTGGATCCATTCCCATCTAAAGTCTTTGTATCTAGATTCTTGCACAAATTCCAATCTGACCTCTCTTTTATGCCACAGGTCTAAGTGTTGCAAAAGCAGGTTCAGTAAATCACCTAATTGGATACCATTTATCTCTAATCTTCTTGAATATCAACTATCACAATTCTACATCTTCTCAGTAACAACACAGATTACTCTTAAGGCTCTAAGGCTATATTTCCATCTTACATCAAATAGCCCAATCACTCCTTAAATATGCCATCAATTCCAAAAGGATGCACTTTACATAGATAATATAAGGAGATACTTTGGCAGTCTAGATGTTTTACATATATTATCACATGCACAAGCATGAAATCAATGTAATAGACTCATGTATTAACAAGAAAAGTATCAGCAAGGTTAATATATAAATTAGTTACAAAACACCTGCCTAATCAGAAATGACACCAATCTTTGCAATAATGACCTCTCTCTTCTACTATAAAATTAAGTCAGTGCATCAAAAACTCAAGATTTTAGGACTAATAAACTCTTAGGGCCCTTTGGGCAGTGGTTGCAAATTATGGTTAATTTCCAGTTCCCTACCATCATCTCTCAGCACACTTTGAATCTAACTCATATAAGTGCATTTGGTAATGTGTATTCTTCTTCAATTTGGTCAAAAAAGAGACGAGATTTGGACAAAACAGCAATATGAGCAAAAGTCAGTTTAAGCAGACTTGAGAGGCTAGAAAGATGATACTTAGAAATAGCTGAAGTTTAGAATACTTGCTCTACACCTAAGACTAACCTACGAGTTAAGAGGAGAAAATTTGATAGAAGAAAAGGTCCTTCAAATTGAAATTAACCAACTTTCTCAGAGTAAGGAAACATTATAAACAGCTAATAAGATGCTTTATCACCTGTGTCCCTTATCCAACAGCAAGGGCTCACTACTACACTCATCTTTCCATTACTTTATTTCAAGCATACCAATCTAGCAGTTTTGATTTCCTAAAGACATCTTCTGAGCCTCAGGTTGCATGAATCCAGCCAAGACAACATCAAGTGTGATCAATAGTACTTAGGGAAAGGTGACATACTCCTCATTACCCCATCTGAAAAGACAAATATAGCCTTGTGTCCACCAAATAGAACAGGAAACGCTTAAGCCATGCACTAATGTACACTAAATGACTAATAAAAGCAGATGATTAGACTTGCTCTTCTATGTTCAAGATGTCAACTTCAAATCATTTTTACTTCCTAAAATATTTGATTTTCTAAGGGTCTTGTGCTAACAACTGCTAAAGCAGCACTTTTTAACTGTATTGGGTACTTAGACTATTTAGCACAATCAGAGCCACAATCAACTGCTGCTAAATCATTGTAACCCTTTAACAAAAATCAAACTTACCGCACTCCTCTACACCTATTGTTTGATCCTGTTTTAAATGCATCTATTTCTTTATTCATTTCAACCCCTGTCACATCACCAACTAAAAGTGCAACTAATTTCAACTTCCTACCATCCTATTAAGAGTCCTGACTAAAAGCATCTATGCCTCCAGGTTTCACATTGACAGTTATAATAGTGGGATCTTATCATTGTTTTCCTTTCAAATAAATTCTATTATGATTGCCTCAAATACTTACATGCTCACAATGTTTCTTGACATATTTAGAGTTTTTAGATCAAATTAACCATTCTTCCAAAATATGGTCCACATAAGGAACCTACAGAAATAATTATCCAAACTTCAAGCTATGGACTTAGAGAAATAATTATCCAAAGTTCAAGCTATGATCTTACAGGTTTCAAGTCTGCTATGTTTTTGAACAAAAAGTAGCGATAGCAGCATCAACTAATATTGCAAAAAAAAAAGAGGCGCTAAGAAGGATAAAAGTTCCCAGAATAACTTTTAGTTCCTTAATGCAAGCATAGATGGAGTCTCCATAATTTTCATAAGAAAAGACAGCAAAAGAGCAAATATAAAAACAAGATAATTAACTAAGCAGCAGAAAAAGATAGAAACAGGAATCTGCAAAATTATATTTCACAAGGTAATAATTCATATACAATGCCTTATATGATTGGAACTTCAACTGTACAATAAAATAAACAGAAACATTTTCTACGACTATCTTTGCTAAAAAAAATTAGATAAAGCACTCCACAGGGTTGTCAACCAAGAGGAGAAAGAAAAGGAAACAAGCAACAAAAAGCTGACACAACAATAAGACAGATTATAGCTTATTTTGTGGTTAATTTTGAAGAGAAAAGAGAATTGGGTTTTTAATTAGAGGCCAAATTTCACTTAAAGCAAACAGAAGGGCAAGGAACTATATTGAATGCTAGTCAGAGAAAAACAAGGTGCTCTTATTCCTTGTTACCAAATTTCTTGGCAATGATAGGACGGACATCATCAGCATCAACCAGAGTCTCTAAGAAGGGAAGTAATGAAATTAGTGCACAATCAGATGGATCATCAAACCAACTCTTAATAGGAATCCCATTATTCACTTGCAACCTGAAAACCTGAAATCAGCAAAGCCAAAGAATGCTTAAGCAATCAGAAGTATAAGCATGGGACAATCAGTTAATTCTTTTCCATTTTGCTTTTTCACTTATGAATATTTCACCATTGTACTATTTAAGTTGATAGCAGACAATGCATCTTGATGATGCTACTAGATAAATAAGATGAACCTCTATCCTTTCTAGTTGATACCAAACAGCAGGGCACAGTAAGTCTTCACAACTACCTCTCACTGTTAAACGTGGTCAACTGGATAGTCTGGTTGTTATTGTTTTTAATAGAAATGATTCTCAAAAGAACTTTATGCATCACTTCTAACCAAAATAAAAAAGACCCAAAAATCAGAATCTTAATGACTAAGACATGTAGTCACTAAATTACCAGTTCACATCTACAAAATCTTCTCATCAGCAAAAGGGGACATTAAGTTTGGTAGCTAACACACTTAAATTTCACAAGCACATTACGTTGAAGCTAAAAGAAATATATATTTTCAGGAAAAAAGAAAAAGAAAAGATGACCGCCAGGATGACAATTATATGTCTTGACTGATTGTGAAGGCAAGGAGATGAAGTTCATGAAGTGTAAACCTTTAAGAGAAACGGGCAGGTAAAATACCTGTGGAGAATTATCAATTATAGCAACTTTTGCAAGATCAACACCTAAAACTGTCAAATCTTTAGTGTAACTTCCATCTGAAAAAATGCATGATTCACGATATACTCGCCGAGATATGAGCTTTCGATCTGGGTCCAATATGTCCAGTAATTGTTCTGCATAAATACTTTGACTTGCAGTAAAGATGACAACTTCAAACATCTCTGCAACTTTCTCCAAAAATGTCTGTAGGTGAGGCCTCTGCTTTACGTACACAGTGTGCTCTTTCATGTTGAAAAATACTGTAAAGGTGAAGTCTGCATTATCACAATGTTCTAGTGTAGAGTGGACGAGAGTTTCTGCATGTATCGAAACAATGGTGATCAAACATTTATAGTAATATTTATTTTTTTTAAAGACCAAGTTAAAAAGAAGAAAAAAGACACAAAGCTCAAATAATCCTGTAAAAATTGTTAACAGTTTTGCAACAAAATTGGATTTGCAACCTATAACATCTAAAACCCCTGAAAGCATTTAAAGCTTTTCTTGCAAGACTTCAACATTAACCTCACTAATAGAACAAGCATGTGTTGTGATTATGACACAAATGGATGTTTGCGATAACGGTGGTTTACCTACACTGCTCATGGGAGTTGACAAATAATCTCCCAAAAGGTTCCACCCAGTTCTTTAGAATCACTTCAAGGTAAAATGTTTTTCTCAGTATTGTTGTCCTCATCAGTGCATTAGACTCAACTCTAGTTATGGGGGCTTATGGCTTCATGTAAGACTCAAAACAATCAGTTGAATACTCTATTTATAAGATCACAAGAATTAACCAGCCATTTGCAGAAATGTTGAGGCAGCAGTACTGGTGAATTAATGATAAATTAATCCCAAAGACAAAAAAATACAATAGTACAACAATCAACACACGTATGTCTTACCATCCAAATCAAGCACAAGAGTTATGAGCTTCCTTCTCCAAGCCTCCTTTGGCACCATAGCAGGCCGAAAGCTTGATACAACATCAGATAGTTCTGGTAAATTTTTTATAAATGACTGTGGATCAAAGTCATCTGCTTGATCAGAGTCAGAGTTGACATCAGATTCTGGGATGCAGGATCTCATCTGATCAATTGCTACATATAAACCAGCATTATCTTGAGCCATCGTGGCTTCTTCATGCAAATTAACATCATTTATATCATTTGCTTTGACAGTGTCCTCGAGGAAAGGCAGTATCATGTATTGCTCAGCCACATCAAACAACATGCTTGGCTCAGAACACTTGAAATCAGGAAAAGAATTGGTTCCAGAGATATTATCATCAACAGCATTTGCATCAAAGGGTATGCTTGCAATTATCATGTCAGATATAAAGAAATCTGATACATTACATGTTTGACTGCCAAATGAGCTTTTGTTATCATCACTGTCATCAGCCCCTAATGTTGGCACTTCAGGGCCATCATTACACCCTACCACAAATTGGAAAAAGAGATAATAGTGTCAAATAAATAGCTTAACAGAACATTGCAACTCTCAATATGCATAAAAAGTAACAACTTCTTGAATATTTGAATTCCACAAAAGTTCTTCATCCCACTAGTGAAAGAGTTAGCATTCAAAACAGGAAAAAATACACAATCATATCGTGTAAATATACCCTAAACGGTATAGTGCCTGCCTTGGGGAAAAAGGCAGATTAAAGGTTCATACTTTATGCAAAGAATTTTGTTTTTATTTCCTTACAGAATGTAATTTGAAAATCACACATCATTTTTGTCACTTAAAATGTGTGATAAACAGCCAATGAATCCCAACTCCCAAGGCCATTCCTTTCTGAATCAATGGCATCAGAGACTGAAATCCCTATTATCAGAATTCTTCATGGTAGTATGAAATATCAAATGCACAGAAACCCCTAAATACCAAAAGTTCATACAAGCACAGATTTCCCATAAGCATGCAACAAAATTAAGTGGCAATAAGAATCTTTTTACTATTAAGTTGTTCATTTTTATAAAGCAAGGTATTGCCCTGAAAACCATATTTTGTTCTTATTTTCTCTTTTCTAATCAAATTTTTTCTTTATGCACCAAGTAACTGTGCCAAGAGAGAAAGAACAATTATAACTTAATCATTATGTTTAGGCAGGGATTTCAACCAAAATACTAAAAAAGACTGCCATTCTCTTAGCCACAAATGGAGACTGGAAAACATTGAAGAAGAAAAGAAAAGGGAGAATGGAAAACAAATTCATGTAATATTTAGCATTTAACCAGCCAAAACGAAGAATCACCTGCATCATTGTCAATATTTGGTTCAGTGTGGATTACAATTGGCTCCAGAAAAGGAGAGAATATTGTCTCTAAGTTTGAGGCACAGGTTTCGGCAGATTCCTGCAAGTTAATAAACCATCATTTATAAGCAAGCACAGACTAAGGTGGGTGAGTCTATTGCATGATATCTTCCAAAAGCAGAGTAAAAAAGAAATTAGCGACTAAAATTCACAAAGTAAGCTCCTAAAAAGTAATAATAACTTACGGTTCTTCCCACAGTCGTAGAATCAACAAAAACAGGATACTGTTTCTGAAGCTCAGAATCGTCGTCATCCAAAATAAGTTGCCGAGAACTGGCTCCATCGGTTGCAACAACTTGCGAAGCCACTTCCAAGTCTGATGAATCTATCAAGAAAAGTCAGTAAGAACATGTAAAAAGCTAAAATATTCATGTAATTTATCTTCTTTTCTTTTAACTTTTTGTAAGAAAAGAACAAGTTACAAACCTCCAAACCAGAAAGCCTATCATTCATGCATATAAGTAAATAAATGAAGAGTGAAGCACCGCATAGAGGATGGGTTTAAGGGCAGGCAGTACATGCAATGGAATACATTCAAGAAATCAGATCCTAATTTCCCATATCTGCAACAATTTTGGCTCATAAATTAATACCTTCTTATCCAAATGGTTCAAATGGTTGATCTATGTACGAGCATTTGTTTCCCTGCCAGAGTCTATTATAATTTGATATCCTGGTACCACTCCAAACAACTCCATCCTTTTATGTTCTAGACATGGGATAGGACCTTCTAACATCTATATTGCAATTTTTAGAACTACAACTATGCTCAACAAAGTAGTTAAGCATAAAAATTACAAGGAAAGCATCATTTCCTTACATAAAAGGAAACTTGTGACAAATCACAAGACAGGCCAGTTAGTGTCAAGTGTCTTGCCCACACCTCAGCAGACTAAAGCAATGTTTGATATTGCTAATTTCAGTGCACTCAATTTACAGAGAACACGCAATGTCAAGATATAAGCACACACCAGAATAATTTTGAAACCTTGTTAATAAAACACTCTAACAAGCATCTGGAACAATTAACATTAGGCGAATATCAGCCTTTTTCAGTGTAGTTGCTTACCATCATGAGAATTTTGAATACATGTACTAAATTCAGCTCCTTGCTGGAAAACCCTGACATGGGAGCATGGTCTTTTGCAAATCATGCTAGACTTCTGACACATACGGAGACCATTTTTTTCTCTTACAGAACCCGTGCTGGATTTGGCCTTCATTCTTAGAGATGGCATTTGATCTGCAGCTGTTATATCTATCACAATCTCTATTCCGGAACATCAGTGGGGAAAAGAACCCCTCTAAATGATCAAATCAGCAGCAGAGGCTGTGTCACATGAACAGTCAAGGTAAGAAGAAAAGATAGGAAATCAGATTGACATAAAGAACTGACAGAATAAGGAGACTGACATAGAAAAAAGAGAATTTTTAAAAAACACAACTTTGTTAGAAGTGAGACATGTATAACAAAAACAAAACCAAAGAAAAAGGTGAGAATTAAAAGTCAAAGTCCATGACACTTTTTCTAGAATTACTGTTAAAAATAATCGATTGTGAATATCACTTAATACCACAATTCTAAAACCTAGATCTTGATTTCTATAGGGTTTACCATAGTCAAGCCTGGAGGGACATTTTTTCATACAAAAATAAAATATAAAGAAGAGAAGAGAAAGGCAGCAAAAACTCTTCATGAAGAGACAAGAAAACAAGAGCCCTTATCAAAGAAAGACAAATTCTTCAAGTAAAACCCACCAAAATTAAAGTCAACCCAAGTCTTTTAATCCCATAAAACACAATATAATCTCATCAACCATAACTTAATTACACAGTCTAACACCAAAGAATGCAAAAGGAAAAACCCAAAAAACCAAAACCCTTCTGCATATGAACCCTAACAAAAAAAGAAACCAGCTGAAATGACAGTTATACAGTTTCAACTATCATTTAAAAAGTCCTAAATTAGAAACCCACGAAAAACCCAGCGCTGAAGATCAAAGCAACAGTACAAGCAAAACAACAAAATTACCTGAAAAAAAAACTTTACAAAATAAAAAGAGAGGTAAAAAAGTGAAATTTTCTAGAGTATGAAAAATAGAAGGACCTGTTCAGAAACAGAAACAAAAAAGAGAGAGTCTTTCTTCTCTTTCTCTCTCTCTCTTTTGCCAAAGAAAGACTATGTTTTTGTTTCTCTCTCTCTTAACTTCCACGAACGGTCAAGACAAAGGTTGGAGGGGGCAAATGTCGGCTTCTATTGGATGATACGGACGGCTGTGATCATTTCCTTTGCAGGAGTTTGGACCCGTAGAACTTTGCCACGTAGGATGTGGAACCAGCTCAGTCTAACTCGTTGACACGTGCAAGTTCGTGGAAAGAGAGGGAACTTTTGGGAGGAAATTGTGGAGGGACTTGAGTTTAACGTTATCCCTAGTCGCGTTCGGTAACGCGTGTTCTGCACTGCATTTTCACAAGCTGTTGTTACTTGTTTATTTAAAATTGTTGCTCCTTTTTAGATTTTTAAAGGCAATTTGACACAATTTTAATTCAATTTCGAATTACTAATTTCCTTTTTTTTGGAATATTTAAGAGTTTTAAAAGAAGTCAACGAAAGAATCCATTATCCTTTCGTTTATGTGTATATTTAATGAAATTAAATAAAAAATATTAAATCGAGCACCATTATATTTATATTAATATTTTTAAAAATTCTTAATAGATAAATTCTCAATTAATAGACATTTATCACAAGACAATTACAGTAAAGATAATATGCTTAAATCAAAAGCGAGATTACACACAAATTATCTAAAGTGGTTTGGTAAGAAAATGATTTTAAAGAATTGTTAGTAAAAACTTGCTTTCAAACATATATTCATTACCGAAAAGAACTGAACATTTTGGAAGTAGAGGAGTTCATAATAAGGTAAACCACGAAAGTAAAAAAAGATAAATACTAGAAATATGAGATTGATTGCAATTTGCAGGAGACAAAGTTTGCTGACTTGCTATAGTTGGGGCCTTGAAGGATTATTTAAAGTAAAAGCCTTGACCTTGTAGATTCTTCATAAGATGTAAGCTTAATCTTTACAAACATGCCATTTACTTTGAAGTCATGTGTAACAGAATATAATATAAAATTTATTCTTAGCATTCACCTAAAAACTCTTTTGCATACTGTTTCAGCAATTGAAAAGTCATAAAAAAGGTGTTTATTCCAACCCCAAAGAGAAAAAGGAAGTTAATTGATTCATTGAACTGTTAAATCAGACCCCCTTTTTTGTTTTTTAAGAAGAGACTATGATGAAATTTGCAAGCATCACTTTTTCTCTTTTTTACTAACAAATTTTTTTAAATAATTTTGACAAAAAACTATATATGATTTCGTCTAGAGACATGGTAAAATGATTAAATTCGAAAGTGAGCCCTTTAATGTGTTAAAGATCATAGGGCAATTATAGAGAATAGCAATATACTAGCCAGCAGGAATTTTTATCAGATATTTTGTGAATAGTTACTGAAGTAGCCTTGCAGGTTCAAGTTCTTGTCCAGAAGCCCGTAAGTTTTAGAGAAGATATTTGAGAAAAATGCTAACAATCAAGTGAAGAGAAATTTTCTTTTATGTGGAGCAAAACAAACGGACAAAAAGTTGATGCTGTTTCAATGGCCTTCCACCATCTGAGGATTTTGCTCCCCCCCCTGCAGAATAATATCTTGTCCAGTTCCCAGGAACATGAACTAGCAGAACTAAGCTCAACTGTAAGTATTTAAGGCATTATTAATGCCTAAAATGAAAGAATTGATAGTCTTTTTTTAAGTACACTCAAGATAGTTTAAGGAGAGAGAGATGATTAGATTTCAATTCTCTTAAAATAGGAGTAACCAAATTGCTAAGTTAAAGCTGAGTTGTAAACATTGTTGGGTTCTGGTTCATGATTATATTTAGACCAAGTATGGATTATGGTTGTCCTGGTCTCTGCCAGTTGGCCTAGCTTAGTCTGATTAATGAGTGCTTATGCCTTTTCTTCTCTTTCAAATCCTCTCGTTTGGAAAGAAAAATTCCAACCAACTCATACTAGATATATCAGTGAGTACGTAGTCACGAGGGCCTGCACCTTTGGAAGATAACATGGATGAATATTGTTCAAATCTGCAAGACAAGGGTGCACAATAATGAACGATTTGTGTGGAGCTTTTGTTTTGGATGACCTGGAACAGGTGCACGTGGACTTGATCTCCAACTTTGTTTTCCTATTTTCTGCAAAATCAAGAATAATTGACATTCATACACTTATTACTCTTTGATCAATCTTAGGTACCCCACTACTGATATTCCAGACGATGTCTTGTAGTTTTAGATAAATAATGTAGTAACCCGAAAAAAAGAAACAGTAGTGTTTATAAATGGAACCATAGAATGGATTGAGAGAGAAAGAATGCACCAACTCATTGCTAAAAATGCAAAAGAACATAAATCTGATGATACTGGAAGCTGGTTTATCTAGTTATTTATCATAGGAATTTAACTGGTTTCTGCAAAATAAGAAAAATAGGTAAGATATCCTAATATGGTATCAATAGTTTGCTCATAAGCAATCAATAGTAATCTAGCTTGGCAGTTGCCATGCAGGACAGTAAGCATTTTGCAAAGACTTAAGCCATATGGGGAAATTAATGTAGCTTTTGATTTCAAGTGCCATATCTGTGCAGATCAGAAAGCAAAAGAGAAATAAGCTGAAGATCATATTTTCATTCTTGTTGGAAATTATCAGAAAATGGGTGGCTTAAGACTTCAAGTAAGCAGAAGTCTAAGTGATTCAAGCACAGATTCTCTTGGACTAATCCGATGCAGTACTACTGTATACTTAGCTGCTCATGGTTGGATGAATGGAAGGAAGAATGAACTACAAAGCAAGCTAAGAAGTAAGAAATGCCAGAAAAAAGCTACATTAACTTAAAAGCAATACCTGCTATCCATGTTAGAACTATATATATTCAACTTCCTAACAAATATCGAAGAATTACAATCCTTGGAATAGTTATGGTTAGTGTATTTTGCTTCTTTCCTACAACAACATTGAGTTCCTATAAAAAGCTTAATTTTAGAACTTCGGTAATGATTAAGGTAATTGAAAGGTTAATAACCGATACAAATAGAATCTAACTGAAGGAAACCATGCTTAATGGGATGTCTGTTTGAGAAAAGAAAACACAACCACCCCTATAAATAGCTTCGGTACATATTCAGATTAGTATTAAATGTAAACAGGTGTTTGAATTGGTTACATGTCGAAATCACTAAATTTGGTGACATGCAATGTGATTAGGATGACATTCTTGATATGACCCACAATAGTTTAGATGAACACTAACTAATTGATACCTTAATTCATAATTAATAAAAAAAAAGAAAAGAAAGGGCAGTGTTGGTATTTTTGCACACCAAAACTCGTGGCTCTTATTTGACATAAATGTTCAAGATTTTTATGTTTTTCTTATTCCCTTTTTGGGGTTGGTGTGGGAGGTTTTACTTACGAGGGTGTCCAAAGAGAATGGACCAATCCTCTGGTGTCTTATCTTCTCTTTTCACATTCATTGTCTAACATGTTATTTGATATCTGATGCTTTTTACAGAGTCGACAAACTTTGGTCTATCTCTTTGGTACTAAGTCAGTGTTCACAATTTTTCTATATTCTATAATCCATTTTTTGGGGGCCTGTGAAGCACTACATCATGTCCCCTTATTGCTGTTCTTAGTTTTGACATACACCAGACATCGGATCCATGGCTCGAAACCAGATGTGATTGATTTTCTTATGTTGATGTGATTTAAGAATATATTTTTACAGGTATAATTCATTTTTAGCCTTTGAAATGAGACAAGTTAAAAAAAAAAACTCATTAGTTGCAACAAGGGCAGTAATGAGGGAAACGTCAAAAATTGACATGAGGGCGACACTGTACTAGTGCAATATTAGTGGTTTCTAATACATAAAAGTGGCAGCAAAGGCATGTTAAGACAGGTTTAATCAATGAACAAATCTTGATTAGGGGAATGGAAACAAGTACTAACAACCCAACTAAACATGTTTAAGGATGAGATAAAATTTAGTAGTAAGAACCCCTCCTGGAAATGGAAAAAGACATTTGGAAGTTTATTGCAAAGAGAGAATCAATGAAGCATCAACCAAAAACAGGAGTCGCAAGTACAGTGATGATAAAGTTCCAGCTACTACTTCCACTGTTGCTACTACTTCTTCTACTAACTCTTCTTACAAGACACAAATGAGTTTTTGAGAAGAAAATCCCATCAGCAAAAAAAAAAAAAAAAAAAACCTTGTAAGAAATGGAACCTGAGAGTGGGGAAAGAGCAAAACAGCCCCAACAACAACAGCCCAATACTACTTTTTCTTCATCAGCTGCAAGTAACGTGAAACCCATCAACAAAGGCAAAGCCATTGCTCAGTACAATGCAGATGCTGGGCTCATGGCTGAGTTTGAGCAGTCGGGTGTGTCTGGTAAGTCCTTTAACTATTCAAGATCAGTTATTTATGCTCCTCGAAGTGTACCTGAAGAACAAATGACAGCTTATCTGTCAAGAATCCAAAGGGGTGGTCTCATTCAACCCTTTGGTTGTATGATTGCTATCGAAGAATCCACCTTTAGGATCATAAGTTATAGCGAGAATTGCTTTGAGTTGTTGGGTTTGCGTTTGGATACTGAGGATGAGTCCAAAGCATTGACGGGTTTGATTGGAATTGACGCAAGAAGCCTTTTTACGCCAGCATCAGGTCCTTCCTTGGCAAAAGCTGCAGCTTCTAGGGAGATTTCATTGTTAAACCCGATTTGGGTTTATTCCAGGAGCACTCAAAAGCCATTTTATGCTATATTGCATAGGATTGATGTGGGAATTGTGATTGATTTGGAGCCTGCAAGGTCAGGGGATCCTGCATTGTCTCTTGCTGGTGCTGTGCACTCACAAAAACTTGCTGTTCGGGCGATAGCTAGGCTGCAGTCACTCCCTGGGGGTGATATTGGTGTACTATGCGATACAGTTGTGGAGGATGTTCAAAAGCTTACTGGCTATGACAGGGTTATGGTGTACAAGTTCCATGATGATGATCATGGTGAAGTTGTGTCAGAGATCAGGAGGTCTGATTTAGAGCCATACTTGGGTTTGCATTATCCTGCCATAGATATCCCTCAAGCTTCTCGTTTCTTGTTCAAGCAGAACCGTGTGAGGATGATCTGTGATTGCCATGCGAATCCAGTCAAGGTCATTCAAACTGATGAGCTGAAGCAGCCTCTCTGCTTGGTAAATTCAACCCTAAGGTCACCCCATGGATGCCACACACAGTACATGGCAAACATGGGCTCCATTGCCTCATTAGTGATGGCAGTCGTTATTAATGGTAATGATTCAACAAAGCTCTGGGGGCTGGTTGTTTGTCATCATACTTCTCCCCGCTATGTGCCTTTCCCCCTTCGTTATGCCTGTGAATTCCTTATGCAGGCATTTGGTCTGCAGTTGTACATGGAGCTTCAATTAGCATCACAGCTAGCAGAGAAGAAGATTCTCAGGACTCAAACCTTACTCTGTGATATGCTGCTCCGTGATGCCCCATTCGGTATTGTGACACAATCACCTAATATCATGGACCTTGTAAAGTGTGATGGTGCAGCATTGTACTACAATGGAAAATGTTGGTTGCTTGGTGTGACTCCAACTGAATCACAGGTAAAAGATATAGCTGAGTGGCTGCTCAGCACTCATGAAGATTCTACTGGATTGAGTACTGATAGTTTGGCCGATGCTGGCTATCCTAGTGCTGCTTTACTGGGTGATGCAGTTTGTGGCATGGCTACTGCCAGAATCACTTCAAAGGATTTCTTGTTCTGGTTCAGGTCTCATACTGCAAAGGAAGTGAAATGGGGAGGAGCCAAGCATCATCCAGAGGACAAGGATGATGGAGGAAAAATGCATCCAAGGTCATCATTTAATGCTTTTCTTGAAGTGGTGAAGAGTAGAAGTTTGCCCTGGGAGATTCCAGAAATTAATGCTATTCACTCTTTACAGCTTATAATGAGAGATTCATTTCAAGACATGGAGGATGGTGGCTCCAAGGTGTTAGTTTATGCCCAGCAGAGTGATACTGCGATGCAGGGGATGGGTGAACTCAGCTCAGTAACATATGAAATGATTAGATTGATTGAGACAGCAACTGCTCCAATATTTGGAGTTAATACAGCTGGTCTCATAAATGGGTGGAATGCAAAAATAGCTGAATTGACAGGTTTACAAGCTGATGATGCAATGGGGAGATCCCTGGTTAATGAAGTTGTTCATGAGGATTCACGTGAAGTGATTGCGAATCTGCTAAGAAGAGCTTTGCAAGGTAATGCATCCTTGATTAATGATAGAGGATATACAATAAAGAGTAATGGCTTTTTGTTTTTGGCTCAAAACAGTGCTGCTCTTGTTTTTTGTTCATATTTTATTCAGTGTACAGCTTGTGCATTTTATGTCCATAGCTGTCTTCTACCAATAACTAACTCCACAAACTTTAATTCCATCACTCTGGTCTTGGTTGCATTTATCAATTCCTCAATCTTCTGTTTCAAACATATCTTGTAATAAATAATTGAGTATTCTCTCTTCTCCGAGAGCTCTGTTAATATTCACTTTGGACTCCTGTTGTAGTTTTAGTGCCTTCAAGTAAAAAAGAAGCACTCATCTATTCTGCATTAAGCATATTCAGTTTTTATGAACCATCCATATGATTCACCCTGTCACTTTGATTTCAAATTAATGAAAAAAGTCATTTTTTGTCAGTTCTTCATCAGATTGCCCTACCTTCACCATCTAGATATCTGTGATAACTATCTGCCCTTAAGATATCCTTTTGTTTCTGTGGAGTTTGAGAAAGCTTGTATGAAATTGAAGAAAATGTGATAAAGGAGAGCTTCATGTATTAAAGATGATTAAAAATGTACTTGGTCGTAAATTTCCTTCTTGCTTCTTACAAGCTTGAAGGACACAAGAACTTCAACTTATTTGTTGTTATCCTTTCTTATCCGGTTCATAAGTTGCTCTAGCATAAAAACAGAATTGGGTGTCAGACTGAATAAAAATGACTGGCCTTGTTTATTGTTTCCCTCCCAATAACCTATTTGTTTACACTTTTCTTCTATAATAGCTTTTTCAAATGATATAACAACTCATTTTTCACCCATTAATATCCAGGTGTGGAAGACAAAAATGTTGAGCTGAAACTCAGAAATTTTGGGCTTAATCGGCAAAACTCAGTTGTTTATATTGTGGTCAATGCCTGCACAAGCAAGGATTACACAAATGATGTGGTTGGGGTGTGCTTTGTGGGTCAGGATATTACATCTGAGAAAGTTGTGATGGATAAGTTTATCCGTTTGCAAGGAGATTATAGGGCTATTATACAAAGTCTTAGTCCCTTGATCCCTCCAATATTTGCGTCTGATGAGAATGCCTGCTGTTCTGAATGGAATGCAGCCTTGGAAAAACTGACCGGTTGGAGCAGAAGTGAGGTCATAGGTAAAATGCTGCCTGGAGAAATCTTTGGAGAATTATGTCAGCTGAAAGGTCAGGACACGCTGACTAGATTTACGATTCTGTTGTATCAAGGAATTAGCGGTCAGGATACTGAGAAGTTCCCATTTGGGTTTTTTGATAGAAAAGGAAAATTTCTGGAGGTTTTCTTAACAGCAAACAAAAGGACTGATGCAGATGGGAACATAATTGGCTGTTTCTGCTTCTTGCAGGTTATTGTGCCTGACCTCCAGCAGGCTACTGAAGGACACAAGCAAGAGGACAAAGAATTCTTTACAAAACTTAAGCAGTTAGTTTACATGCGACAAGAGATGAAAAATCCTTTGAATGGTATTAGGTTTACCCACAAACTTTTAGAAACTACAGCTATTTCTGAAAATCAGAGGCAATTCCTTGAGACCAGTGATGCGTGTGAAAGGCAGATATTGGCAATAATTGAGGATATGGATTTAGGAAGCATTGAGGACAGGTAAGTCGCTGTTTAGGTCCATACTCTGCATAATTGACCTTGTAGCTTCACATTACTTCTGTTGTTCCTTTTGCTCATCATATGGGACCAGTCATCTTTAATATATGAGAAGCTATTCAATAGCCTCTAACAGAGGAAATTCATTCATCTTTTGAAGAAGGATGTCTTACCATCATAGTTTCTTGATACAATTTTCACAAGCATGTTAAGCAAGCATGATTCTTGACTGCATTTATGATGTGGAAGCTTTTCTAATTTCTCTTTTTGATGCAGATTTGGTTCAACTTATTTCCTTTATCTTCTTCTCATTGCTCGTTTTGGTGATAAATATTAGTCATCTTTTCATTTTGAAACCACAAATCCTTTTTCAAACTATTATTGAAGTCATTAAGAAAACTGTAGAAGCAAGTAGTTGATCACGAACAGTAATGATTTTGTTGTTCTGGCTTTAGGTGTATGGTACTAAGCACTAATGTCTTATATTACCTCCTGTTCTTTGCTGCAGCATGGAGCTAAGCATGGAAGAATTTCTTCTGGGGAATGTTCTTGATGCTGTTATCAGTCAAGTCATGATTTTGCTCGGAGAAAGGAACTTACAACTTTTTCATGAAATTCCAGAAGAAATCAAGAGACAGTCTCTGTATGGTGATCGAATTAGGCTCCAGCTAGTCCTGTCGGATTTCTTGCTTAGTGTGGTGCATCATGCTTCTTCTCCAGATGGCTGGGTAGAAATCAGGATTTCACCTGGTCTTAAGCTAATACAAGATGGCAATGAGTTTGTCCGTTTACAATTCAGGTACCACAATTATGGTGTATTCCTCCATAAAATACGACACTGTCAAATTTTTCCGTGCCATCTACATAGTTAATCCATTAGAATCTACTCTGATAAATATGATTTTTATTTGTATGTGGCATGGTAAGACAGTTCATGATAACTAAAGTCTTTTTGTTCTGTGCTTGTAGGATGACTCACCCCGGTAAAGGCCTTCCTTCTACTCTTATCCAAGATATGTTTGAGGGAGGAAATCAGTCGATGACACACGAAGGCCTAGGGCTAAACTTGTCTCGGAAGCTTCTAAATAAGATGAATGGTCAGGTTCACTATGTCAGGGAACATAGCAAATGTTCCTTCCTCATTGATCTTGAAATTAGAACAAGGAAAGGAACACAAAAGGCATCACAAGCCGAGTGACCCTAATCTCTTCCGGAAACCCATCCTTTAATATGTGTAGATGGGCCATATATATTTTACACCTTGCACCCAAAGGCTTCTATGAAATAAGGTAGTAGCAACTCTTCCATTTTGGTTTCCCCCCTCTCTTGTTTCATCTTGTCAACAATTCATGCGGTGAGGCCTGTTTGTCCAGCAATGCTGGTCTGACAATAAGCATGTGAGTGTGTACATATATACTTTGTTTTTCTTAGAATATATCGTAGTGGAGACAAGGTGTTGAGGTTTTGCTAGCAGAGAAGAACGAGTTGCATTGTAAGAAGCCCAGGAGAATTGTGTATTAATAAAACAATGCCAAATTGAGCCTGCTCATTCTACAGGAAAAAATGTTACTATTTCCCGCCCAGAAAAGCAAAGGGTACTCGGCTGCTAAGGCGACAATAATGCTAATGCATTGTATACTAAGAAGCACAATTGGGAGATCTTAGTGTCCCACTGATATTAGTTGTTTGAGGTCTGGCTGTTTATGATAATACCATTAATTTCAGACTACTTTTCATGATTGCTCCATTAATTATCTTGAAAACCATGAAATGCATCTATCTACTAGTACTTTGTATGTGCCAAACATGCTCTCACCATACATGCACAGTCTAATATCATCAATTAGCATACATTTCGTAGAAAACCAAAATATGTGATTAATAAAAACAAAGTCTGTATGTTGCACTATACAATTTTCTGTGAATGACATTAATGTTACATCCCTAACCCTCAAAATCTCAACTCTCACAACACATATCCATTTTGACATATAGACATTATATTTGCATATTTAAACTATCCAATTCCAGATCACCTAAACACCGCAAAAGACCCAAAACAGAGAGGAAAGGCAGAATTAATCACGCAGAATCCTGAAAAATCCTCCCAAATGCAAAAAAATAAGACGGTGATCTGTTCACAAACCACAATGCACCCTACGGGTTCAAACGCTCCACTACTTAAAGAGTCAGACTACACAAAATCTGCATCCTGCTATAGGTGGTTCACCTCTTCCTATGTTTATACAGTTGATCATGTACGCATAAGTTAGCACTCACTGCCCCCAAAGAATTTGGTATGAGGGCAATCTCCTTCCAGTATGCTGTTAAAATGTTTCTGGCTCCTCACCAACATCTCTCTCTTGAAGGCTACCTGAAGAATCACCCAAGTGAGACCCATTTGGCTGGCGGATGATATTCAAACTAGAGTGCAGATGTTCTGGGATGCTCTACACAAAAACAAAGAGAGTAATTGTTATTATATTAATGAAACTTGTGTGTGTGAGTATCAGACCAACTCCCGAATAAGAAAGGCCAACTGATACTTATTTAAAAAGAATCAATTTCAAGTCACTCGTTCAAAGCACTGAAAAAAGATGTATGCCAACGAAATTTCCATGTATGGGTAATAATACAATAGAAGAATTATGAATACTAACGCTACCTGATCACCACCATCTGGGCCCTCAGAGTGAAAGAGAATTGGGCGGCAGCGCTTATCTTCATTCATCAAGCTTGAATTCTGGAAGTGGGCAACAAGGGCTGCCTTTCCCTGGATTCGAGCATATGCCAAAGAAGCAACTTTCTCACTATTAAACTTCTCCCACTTCTTTCCATTAAATGCCTGCATAAGATTTGTTAACATAATTGAGTCCATTGAAAGCATTCCAAGGCTTCAGTAACAAGCTAGCCCTTCTCTTTAAAAATAAGCACAAATTTTATAATTAAGAGAAAACATTAAACTGATCAGTCCTAAATGCACCTAAGAGACCAAAGGTTGAAAAAATATTAAGATAAAAAAATATAACCTCATAAAATGGAACAATGTGCGAAGGAGATAGCATATTGATAAAGGCATAGCCCACGTTGCACTTATTCTGCACCTCAAATGGGAAAATCTGTCAATTGCAATTGAACTTGAAGAAAGATGATCTAAACTGTCCATCACAACCCCAAAGTAATTACCTTAAAATCAATGGGCAAATAGAGAAAATCATAAGTCCCCCGGTGATTTTCATCAATGGCAGCCAGCAACATCTTTGAGGTATATCTGAGGATCATTATGAAATAGAGATTGTCAAGAAAAGGTATCAGCACTTCAAACGTATCGATGGGTATTCATAAAGCAGAGGATTATAGAGATTGTACTGACTTATTTGGAATATTTTTTATCATCAGGGTTGTCCGAGTATCTTCGCCACTAATAATTTTATCCAAGTCCAGCTGAAACTGCTTTTTGTTTTCCAACTGGTTCCCATTATTTTCAACCCGTCTGCTCCTCCCACGCTCAGTTAACCCCTCCATACCATTAGGTACTAGTCCTGGGTATGGGCCATTGCCCAAAAATACAGGACTCAACCTAGGTGAAGACATCATTCTCATACTTGATGAACCATTCTCAGACACATTCCGTGGAATGCTAATACCTGAACTAATAGTGGCATGAGAACCCATATTAACCATAAAACCACCATCATTGTGGCCTACACCCATGCCTCCAAAAGCAGCAGAACTCATAAATGAAGTATCTGATGATTCTGGGAAGAAACCAAAGTGCCTTTCTAGAGGAACGCCAGATGGAGCAGATCCAATGTGATGATGATGATGATGGTGGCGTTGGGATAAGCCTGAGAAAGATCCTTGCCCACCTGAGTATGGAAAGCCATGGCCCTTTCCATTGGATGAGAATGGATGCCCCAAAGATGATGTTTGCCAGACTGAAGAGTTGGTATCCGTATATGAATTTGGATTTCCCCAAAGAAACTGTGGCCCAGATAATGTTTCCATACTCGAACCATTTGATGGACCAAAAGTAGATATGGTTCCATGGTATTGGCTCAGCTTTGGCTCAGGCAATGAATGGGAAAGTTGAAACCCAGCTGCATGGGTTGAATTTGTACTGCTGGTAAATGAATGCTCTACATGACTACCCCTCCCTTGGTCCTTGCCAATAGGTGCAACTTTCATGGAGTTTGACACTTGAGGATGCAGTATAGACGCCAGACCAGGTAAATGATTGCTAGATGTTGGGCTCATGGTCCTGAAAACAGGGGACTTACTAAGAGAGTGCATTGGACTATGCTCTATAGGACTGTTAAACTGGGCCCAGGTACCTGTCATGAATATTTCAACATCCTCAGTTTACAAGATAAATCCAAGACACAATCGAAGCATATGCAAACAAATGACAGAATGTAGCTCCAATAGCCCTACCTGGTGGAGAATTGCCTATTGGGGAACCAACTTGATGTCTGAAACCCCGAGATTCATCTTGTTCAAGTTCTTGATTCAGTTGCAACATCAAGCTACAATTCAACAAGGATAATTAATCAAAAATTTTCATCATTGATAAACTTTGAAAAACAACAAAAGAAAGGAATCAAACAAACAAGTTCCAATAGAGACTAAATGCAGAATGAGGAGAGTTTTAACATTATTTTTTTAATAAATAAAAATAAAAAATTCAAAATGTTGATAATGTCTAGCATGCAGCACCCAAGATAAAGGATCCACGTAACTACACTCCCACATGGCCACGACTACAGTAGTTCTGATTGTTACCAATTCCTTATAGTGCTTCCATTTACAATCTACACTAGTTTACTTCTTCAAATTATTGTCAATGCATATACATGAAAAATTAACACTACTGCAAAACATGCCAACACAGGCAGAAATAGATTAGCTTTCATGCCGTAGTACCAGTAGAATAGCAAATAGAACAACACTATGAGTCACACTCAGGAAAATGCATGCTCCAGTGCTATGCCAAGCGATATGAGGAAGAACTTCTTCCAGAGGGAAAACAAGATTTATCAAATAAAAAAATAACAAATTTTGAAACAGAATAATCAAGAATAGGATATACGCACTTGCGACGAGCTCCTCCAGGGCGACTAGGTTCAAGCTTAATTCGTTTACCAGCTATGTCACTCCTATTCAGTGACTTAAGAGCTTGTTCTGCAGCTCTAACATCATAAAATTCAATGAACTTATGGTGTCTCTTGTGTGGTGTTTCCCTTATCTGCTTTTATGTGATGAATAAAGCATTACAGAAGTGTTAAACATGCAGTCTCAGGTTTGTAGCAAGAAAACAATTTTGAAAAAGAAAAAAGAATCACCTCTTTAACCTCGCCATAAACCCCAAATATTTGACGAAGATCTTCATTTGAAACTGACGGATCCAAATTAAAAACTACCAAAGTTCCTTGATTAATATCCTTCTCTGAGGGATTATCCTGGTGTAGTATAGGGTTGGGAGTAAAAAGCAAAGTGGAAAAAACAGTTAATAATAACAACACTGAGGCAAAACAAATTATTTGAGATTAAAAATGCTTTAAACCTTAGGAATTGAGAAGTGAATGTCAAGTTTCCTCCGTCTTAGTGGCTTGTTCTGTAATGCACGCATAGCTGTTCGAGCAGAACGAATATCATAATAAGATATCATCACAAAGCCCCTGTGTTTACATGCAGTGTACAGAGTTCTAATATCACCATATTGCTGCAGAAGAAAAAAAAATGTAGCACTCAGATCAAAAGAGATAGAACGAAACAACAGGTTTGGGTCAATAGCCATAGTCTAATAGCTCAAAGTTGCATTCCAAAAATTAGGAGAACATATATCTGCAACTTTAAACTACTCTACACAATACTTTTAACCTGAAAATTGGAAGGTTTCCAAATCAGATTACTCAGTCAATTCCAGCTTCTAAAACCTGCATTTCTGGTTCTAAGAGCACTGTATTCTAATTTCCAGCAATTCATATATCAATGAGGGTAAAAAATAATAAAAGTATTTCCAAAAGCAGAATGCACTTTTACTGGCATCCCCAAGAAGGTGCTGTCAAGGAATGCCATCAGACAGAATTTTAAGAATCAATTACCTCAAAAAGCGCTCTTAGTTCTGAATCCTCCACATTGCTATTTATATTCCGAACAAATAATGTTCTTGAAGGATGTTCTCCATATGGATGTTCCCCAGCGATGGTTCCAACACCATTTGGAAGACCATAATGCGGCATGCCATTTCCAACAGCAGCATCAGAGAGACTCACTTTTGACATACCAATGTTCAGGCTCTCTTGTGGATCAGTTTCCAATTCCATACCTCCTCCGCTACCAAAAAGGTCATACTCCTCCAAATCTTCCAATGAACTAGGCAACCCGCTCAAGTCAAAATCATCCATAATGCCAGCTAAAAGCTCATTCTCATCATCAGGAAGCAAGCTTCCAAGTGCATGAGCTTCGATGTCTCCAAGTGGATCGTTGCCCTCCACATCTTGATGGAGGTTATTTAAACCAGATGCAATATCATCAAGAGATTGATAAGTATGATCAGTATCATTTAAGTTCACTGCATACAGCCAAAATCAGGTCAGACTTTCCTTAATACATTAGGTATTAGTATTTAAACAACAGCTGACACTTACACTTTTCATGTGGAAGAACAGGCAATGAGCTAGAAAAAAGGGTAGCATCACTTGAGGCATGGTAGGCATCAGAACCAGATAATGCACTTTTCACTTCCT